AGAACTTTAAACTCTTTCTGGCCAAAAATCTGGAAAACCAGAAAATAAAAAAGCCTAGACTAAATACCAGACATGTTTTGGAGATGTAATCTGTCATCAGGCTGACTGGTTTACAGGGATTAACTCTCCAATCTGACTTTTACACCTATCTAACTATATAAAACTTACAGTTAAATAAAATGTTAGATGTTTCAGATTCAATTTTTGTGAAATTTGTTGGATTTTTTTTCTAAATATTGATTGCTTCTGAAGCCTGGTTGTTATTTTAGTGCTAAATCAAAGTTATTTACAGGTATTGAGGGCATCAAATATGTGGAAAATTAGTACTTTGAGTTCAACGGCTCGAAACTCTTGTGACAATCAAAATTTCTCAAGATTTTTCGACAAAGAAGATTGTCACTTTCAGTTGAGTAATCAATATTATTATCTCTCTTTCTTTTTCACCAATTTCTCACAGTAAGCTCATATCAAGGGCATCATTGATGATGGGTAGAATGATTTCACTGGTTGAGAATCCTTGCTAGTACTAGGCCAATTGAAATTTCTTAAGTTATATTGACTATATATATTGTTACTATCTGTTGATAAAAATAATAGGAATATTTGTAAAGATTGTTATTTTTCACTGTCAAACATCATACAACAACACGGTTATCAGGTTTTTACTCAATTAAATCAATAAATTTAAAATATCAAATAGGAAGTATAAAAAAATAATATATTTTTATGATGTTTTATTTTCCGATTTCCTACTTTCATATTTTATGCAGGAAATAAATTTTGAAAAACATGTTCGAACCAGAAAAACCGATAAATTTAAACTTGAAATTTCATCCATGAACAATTTTATTGAATGAAGTAAATAATCATTACAACAGCCTGTTTAATGTCCCTTTTCTCTTGAATATGTTAAATACTATATTATTATATCGATATTTCTACCGTGTTTCTCTGTAGCAGGTACCTTTTCTCAGGCATTTTTCTCTTGAACTTGTCAAATACTAGTTTACTATATTAATATTTCTACCGTGTTTCTCTGTAGCAGGTAAACCTACTATTAGGGAGCAAGGTATTTAATATTTGCATGTCACATGGTTTTAAAACTAAATGTGAATACACATACAAACCTTGTGTATAAAATAATAGTACTGGCAACCCTTCTATCAATTCATGGGAGCCGCGGTGGCTCAGTGAGTTAGACGCTTGCTCACTAACCTAAAGGTCCAGGGTTCAATCCCGGCATAAGTCGAGATAATACCTTCGGATTTTTCAACCCGGTTTCCCCCTGTCAGTGATGCAGGTACGAGGGGCTGACATGGAAACAGCGTCCAGTCGTTCGGATGGGACAATAAACCGAGGCCCTGTGTGCTACAGGCTGTGCACGTTAAAGATCCCTCGACAGTTGGAAATCGAAAAAGAGCAGGCTAATGCCGCTGTCCTGGCAAAATTGCCCTCATTGCACCCTGCATGGCGTTGCCCGTCTTCATTTGCCCACATGGTGCCATTTGGTTAAAATTAAAGTTCTCGAAAAGGTCAATATGAGTATATATTCATCAGTCAACTTACCTGGTGTCATAAAGTTACAACAGAATCCCTGTAAAATCTGGAAAATTGGAAATTCATAAAACTAAGTAATTATTGAAAAACGCTTAATCATGATATTAAGGGTTTTCAATAGTTAATTACATATTTATGGATAATTACTAAGTTTTTTAGATTTATCAGATTATATAAGGATCCTGTTATGTTATTTATGACACCAGATATATCTACTGGCTCTTAATCGCCTAGTTTAAAATTCTTAAATGTTATGTTAATTCTAAGACGTAGGATCACTTTAATGAACTTTTCAATCTATTCGGTACCAGTATTATTAGGATGACATAATCCCTTTAACAAATAATCTCCTGTAATATCAGATACAGGTAAAATGATAAAATGATGTTATAAATTGACAGAAAATGGTAAAAATAATTTCAAAAGGTATCTTATCATTTTTAACCTACATCTATTACAGTTTATATTCTCTCCACCCTTATTAAATGTTGATATTTCTTATACATTCTGGTAATAGACAGGGATGTTGTTTTAGCCTGTTTTACCAGTCATGTCTGACTGAAGCTCTAGACTGTTGATTTGGTTGTATTAACCAGTTATGTCTGATGAAAGATCCAGATTATTTTAATTACTTGTAGTTCTAGGCTTTTTATTTGATTTGGTTGTATCAACCAGTCATGTCTGACCAGAGCTCTCAACTGTTGATTTGGTTGTATTAACCAGTCATGTCTGACCAGAGCTCTCAACTGTTGATTTGGTTGTATCAACCAGTCATGTCTGACCAGAGCTCTCAACTGTTGATTTGGTTGTATCAACCAGTCATGTCTGACCAGAGCTCTGGACTGTTGATTTGTTTGTATTTACCAGTCATGTCTGACCAGAGCTCTAGACTGTTGATTTGGTTGTATTAACCAGTCATGTCTGAATAGAGCTCTAGACTGTACATACCACACATTTTCTACACAGTTTTTAATTTAATCATACGGTAACATTTTGTTGAAAGTCCAACAATTTCTCCTCATCTAAAGATTTGACGTGTAATTTTGTCATACTGACAGCTGAAATCTACAACAACAGTTTTATTGTATCGTTTAAAATTAAGACACGTTCCTCATTTCCTGGCCATAATTATCATTATTAATTAACAGAGATTTAATTATCAAACAGGAAATAAACACATGTAACTCATCAGTATATCATTGTGGTCCTCTTCGTTAGATTCTAATCCTAAATTTTAAAGGGATTGTAAAGAGGTTTTCTGAAAATTGTATCTGTATCAGAGACACGGATATCATCAATTTACACCATTCCAATTTTCAACCCAATGTCTGTGGTTCTTGTAATTCCACTAAACTATGTGTATTATGACATCACACAACACAACTCAAAGGTTCTTAGATATATCAATAGCACCTTTTGTGTTAGTGACCTCACAAAATGTTTACTTTTAGTGGAATTTCAAGAACCACAGATGACTGAAAATTGAAAGATGCAAATTGATGCTATCAGTGTCTCTGATACACATACAATTTTTAGAAAACTTCTTTACAATCCCTTTAAAGATTCAAGTGAGTAAGCTTACAAGGTGAATTTCTTGACCAAAGATTGCCCTAGTTATCAAATTAACATCCTTATTTAAAAAGGTTCCTGTTCCTGTTCACACATCAAGAAGACATCCTGGACAAATTTGGCTTTAGTCTAAAATCACATAAACAAAATAAATTAGGCAATATTTCAAATGATCTTAGCTTTCAAAAGTTTTCCTAATTCTATTATTTTGAATAATCCTGATATAGCCATCATGAGTAAAGTAGAAGAAAATATCAAGTTAAAGATGGGTTCCCTTATTTTCATTTATGAAAATGAAAATGCTAATACTTATATGAATAGAAAGTAGAGGTGTTCTAATGACTTGGAAAAATACCAGTTTGTCTCACATGTCCATAATTAATTCATAATTAGCTAAATTAGAAGAGGATTACCAGCAAAATTCTAATGAATGACCGATCAAGAAGTCAATAAGTCTTTTTTCTTTTGGTTTTTACTGTTCATACATGGACATTTATGATTGGTCAAAACTCTTAATTATATGCAATAAGAATATAATGATATGATTAAGAATACATGATAATTCATTAGAAACACCAATTAATCTAATAGTTTGCTTAATTTGACACTAAAAAATAAGGAAACCCATCTTTAAATACAAGATGGCAGTCTGATGATTAAATTAATTACTACTGTAATCTATGTTAATTGGTCTGAACATTAGTTGCCCAATCATTGTAATAGTTCCCTCGTGTGAACATCATCTCAATTAAACCTAGATTCTATGGTTGGTACGTCACATCCAGGGGCCAGTTGTTGGAGAGTTTGTGAAGTACGATTCTCAAATGTATTTCAAATCTGATTGGTCAATATTATCACCGTTATAGTTTCAACCAATCAGTGTTCTTAGCATTTTATGTTTACGATTATCGTAAAGTTACGATGTTTCCGACAACAAGCTAAAATTCTGATTGGTCATTAAATAATATCATTGTTATAACATCAACCAATCAGAGTTCGAGTATTGTATGTTTACGATTATCATAAAGTTACGATGTTTTCCACAACAAGCTAGAAGTCTGATTGGTCAATAAATAATATCATTGTTATAACATCAACCAATCAGAGTTCGAGTATTGTATGTTTACAATTATCGTAAAGTTGCGATGTTTCCCACAACAAGCCAGAAATCTGATTGGTCAATAAATAATATCATTGTTATAACATCAACCAATCAGAGTTCGAGTATTGTATGTTTACGATTATCATAAAGTTACGATGTTTTCCACAACAAGCTAGAAATCTGATTGGTCAATAAATAATATCATTGTTATAACCAATCAGAGTTCGAGTATTGAATGTTTACGGCTATCTAAAAGTTACAACACGCTAGAAATCTGATATTGGCAAAATAGTAACTTCAACCAATCATTGATGTCTAACTAGGCCTGATGTACAACTACAATTTTCAAAAAAATAAGTTTTTTTTTACAACAGACCTCAGGTTGAAATTGTCAACCTCTTGTCTATAATTATAGGAAATTACTTTGTTTTGACATTCACTGTTTATTAGAAATTGTCTCTGTTGGACATTAAAAGGTTTCTAAAGAGAATTTTGTGGAGCAGACGGCAAGTCATCATAAGAAATGAATTACTGCCCCTGAATCTTTATAGTATTAGGGGAAATTTTACTTAGTATTTAGGTTCCTTAGCCCTGCATGCTTTTCATAATTCACAAGGCTAGAGTCCACATAGCCAATACTGTGATTTAGGTTTTCCAAAACTATAAGATCTTACAACAGTAAAGATAGTACTATTATATTATTTAAGGTGCAGTTTTCTATAATATTTTGAATAGTTTATATATAAGAGTTGTACTCTATGTATAATTATGTTTAATATGTTTTATTATTAGTGTAGAATGTATTCCAGACTATATCCTGAAAAAAACGTAAATAGCAATAGTAGCTTCTAGAGTGTTATATAGCAATAGCAGATTCTAGAGTGTTATATAGCAATAGTAGCTTCTAGAGTGTTATATAGCAATAGTAGCTTCTAGAGTGTTATATAGCAATAGTAGCTTCTAGAGAGTTATATAGCAATAGTAGCTTCTAGAGTGTTATATAGCAATAGTAGCTTCTAGAGTGTTATATAGCAATAGTAGCTTCTAGAGAGTTATATAGCAATAGTAGATTCTAGAGAGTTATATAGCAATAGTAGCTTCTAGAGTGTTATATAGCAATAGTAGCTTCTAGAGTGTTATATAGCAATAGTAGCTTCTAGAGTGTTATATAGCAATAGTAGCTTCTAGAGTGTTATATAGCAATAGTAGCTTCTAGAGAGTTATATAGCAATAGTAGCTTCTAGAGTGTTATATAGCAATAGTAGCTTCTAGAGTGTTATATAGCAATAGTAGCTTCTAGAGTGTTATATAGCAATAGTAGCTTCTAGAGTGTTATATAGCAATAGTAGATTCTAGAGTGTTATATAGCAATAGTAGCTTCTAGAGTGTTATATAGCAATAGTAGCTTCTAGAGAGTTATATAGCAATAGTAGCTTCTAGAGAGTTATATAGCAATAGTAGCTTCTAGAGAGTTATATAGCAATAGTAGCTTCTAGAGAGTTATATAGCAATAGTAGCTTCTAGAGAGTTATATAGCAATAGTAGCTTCTAGAGAGTTATATAGCAATAGTAGCTTCTAGAGTGTTATATAGCAATAGTAGCTTCTAGAGTGTTATATAGCAATAGTAGCTTCTAGAGTGTTGTAAAAAAAAAAACCTTAAATAGGCATAGTTTTTCTGGCTCTACCCTACCTACATCTGTTAAAGATAGTAATAAGAGCTAGTAACTATCAGAATAAGGATATATATCCTATGTTAAAATATCACCAGTGTAAAAACTCAACCTGGAAGTTGTAACATGATATTTATGTATCAAAAAGTTTTAAATGAATGAAAGAATGAGGTCAAGATGAATGAAAGAATGAATGAATGAATGAAAAAAAATGATTATGATTAAACGAAAAGAATAAATGAATGAATAAGTCCAAGCTGAATGAATGAATAAATGAATGAATGAAAGATAACAAACAATTTGATGAGCATTTTTTAAAAAAAAACTGAGTAAAAAAAATTGAAATGAAATATGTTTGCCTGTTAATGTACAAATGAATGTATGAATGAATTGATGAATGAATTGATGAATGAATGAAAAAACTGACCTGATAAGCGTCTGGGATATTCACAACTTCTCCTGTCTGAGCGACATATCCAATAATTCCCTTACCCATCGGAATCCGAATCTCCTCCTCGCGCTCACAAATTTCCTCAAAAGTTGAATCACAACAAACATCAAAAAGTTGCGAAACGAGCCATTTTTCATTAGTTCCTTTCCCCTGGACTAAAAACAACGAGCACCGATCTGCGTTTAACACGATAGACAAATTTAACAAAATTTTATAACACAAACTCCTTAAATCCAGATCATTACAAATATCTATCACAAGTTCGTACATTAACTCCCTTTCATCCAGCGATTTTAACTCACTTTTAGATTTCCGATGGGACTTTCCTTGACCAGACGTTGATGGCACAGGATCCAGAAACGTCGGGGTTCCGTCTACTTTTGAGATCATAGGTTTTAATATTCCACCCTTATCAAACTCTTGAGCAGATATTTTGCGAACGGGGGTGTTGGCGCCTGAGCTAGGTTTAGAATTAGAACTACTGGAGGATGGTTCCGAGGTTAGTCCGGATTGTTTTATAGCGTGAGATATCAACCATCCATCAACCATACTTTGTTGAGCTTTCCGAGCAAAATAATCGTGAACATATTCTGGGTGTTCGTCCAACCACTTCTCAATCCCATCATACTCTTTCTGAACTTCTGGGGGTAGGTCCGGGGGAACCTCCCCGTCACCCTGCTCTGCGACTGGCTGGACAGTCAGCATCTTTCCATTACTTCTCTTCCTCCTAGCCCATGTAGCTGGGCGTGTGTTTGAGGGTCTGTTGGTCTGAGTCAGATGAGATGTTTCTCTGTTGGAATCCAGCTTGGTAATAGAATGGTTAAAACTACAAGTTTGTATTTATATATATATATTGTTAGTGTTTAAAGCTAGAGTTAGGCTGCACGTCTCTATGGCCGAGTAGAACCATTGGTTGATCTAGCCCTATTGATTTTACACTACCAACTATTTTAACTTAACTATAATGAAACACATACAGTATATCAGCGATTTAACGTGATATACTCTACAGCTCCCTTTAACAGTTAGGCCTAACCTACCGTTCAACACAGTTAACTTATCAACAACTAGACCACGCCCTCTTCAGTAAACAATTACCATTTAAATCCGAGATTTTTAACCTCTTCCGTTCTGATCATTTCTCCGTATTTTACCCCAAACTGTTATTCCGGTTAGATATGTCGAACACGAGTTTTCACGAGTAAAGTAAGTGAAGTTGAACTGCCTACAGACCAGCAAACCATGTAATAAGCACTGTATATGATCATATCTTCAAGATAATAAAACCCACAACAATCTCACAGGCTATGGTGGACTCAAGTAGGTAATTCTATATATAGATATATACGCTACATTTAAATGTTATATTGTAAACTATTTAACTGTAGGCTAAACTAAACACAAGCGGTGTTTCTTTTTTATATCTTGAATGCACGTGCGTGTATGCGAAAAGCACACAGACTATGATATAGATTGTACTATTACGGTATATTTAAATGTTATATTGTAAACTATCTAACTGTAGGCTAATCTAAACACAAGCCATGTTTCTTGAATGAACGTGCGTGTATGCGAAAGCACACAGACTATGATAAAGTAGAATGTAATATTAAGGTATATTTAAATGTTATATATATAAACACAAGCCATGTTTCTTTTTAATTTCTAGAATGCACGTGCATGTACGCGAAAGTACCATGGTGAAGTAGAATGTAATAAAACGGTATATTTAAATGTTTTATTGTTAACTATTTATCTGTAGGCCCAAGGCGATTCCAATACGGTCGAATCTGCTCAAATGTAAATAAACATAAGTCTTTTAAGAAAAATTCTATGTATGTGCGTGTACACAAACAATACACACCATCAGTAGTCCTACATTTACATGTTATATTAAAACTGTGGGATAAACTCTTGGTCAAACACACGAGAATGTTTCTTGTTTGCGCGTACACGTACGCAAAAGAATACAAGATATTGCGAACTGAAGTAGATGGAGTTCAGATTAAGTGAATCTTGTACCCGGACTCTCATATTGCGGCTATTTGAAAAGTACAACAGAACTCAGCCTCTATATTTACCTCTTTTGTGGAAAAAATATGACATTTTTGTCAGGTTTTTGTTATTTTTAAAATAGAACGCAAATTTATCAACTTGAAGCTAAAAGATAATGATAAAACACGGAATATATCAATTTATTATAAATACCTGAGGTCGTTTATCACATAAAACCGCTGTTATTCTGGGCTGTAACACTATTTTCCCCCGATGAGTTCTCTTACTTTGAGCACATTGGAGGTAATCCGATTAACATGCAAATTAGGAGGTTGTGTTTGGAGGGAAGAAGGGGGACTGTGTGTGTGTGTGGGGGGGGGGGGGGGGGGGGGGGGGGGGGATA